GGCTCGAGGTCTCTCTGTCTTCCGGCGGCTTCTGGTTGTTTTTCGGATTCACACCAACTTCTCAGCCGAGCCAACGGGTCACTATGGCAGCTGGGGCTTCTGGACGCAGAACATCCGCGTAACACTGGCAACAGAGCTGAGGCTTCTGCAAGGACCTGTCGAGACAGCAAGCCGCTCCTGCATGGGTCTCCAGCAGGCACTCATTTCTGCGTCTTCCGATCTACTTGATCAACCTCCTTGGCCAGGATCACGTGCCAAGTCCCCATGCACAGCCGAACTCAATCCCCACAATATCCGATCCCTACCCTATGGTCCAAAACCACGGCTCGCCTTAGAACGCCCAGAGGAAGCAACTCGTCCTGCGCGAAAAAAGTGGCTTTTTCTTCGAGGCTCTTAAGGTTCTAAACAGTGCAAGGCTTCTGGGAGACAATTGAGCCATGTTCAAGGTGCAGATTCTTGCATGAACTTACTGAGTGTTGCAGCGGAACTCGAAAACGGCCAGCTTCGTTTGGAGTCGGGTCTGAAGTGCTTCGGCTGGACTCGATTCATTCATACAGCGCCGCGCACTCACCACGTAAACAAGACGGACTGCACAACCCCAGAAGTGTTCCCAAGAATCTATAGACTCTGAAACTCAACCCCATGGACTCTGCTTCTTCACAATCCGAGAAGTCTAAGGCCCTGAACCAACGCCTCCAACTTCCCGAATCACGTGGGTCTACGAGTCTTTCAGAGCGCTTCACCCGGGGGAAGCTAAAATTTTTATGATACAATCGGAATGCGAAAGTGCGTGCATCCCGGATGTCTTTACAGCCGGAAGGGTGGGAATTATCCGTCCAGAACGGAAGGATCGCAGGTAGCCGCAAACCAACCACAATTGAGATCTCTAATATTCCCCTGACTCTTTGTGCATCACTCTGGAAACGACGAGAAGAAGGAACCTGCTCCACGTCCGTCGCGCTCGGGCCTGGAGAGGTCCAGAGCCCTTCTTGCAGTGGATCTCGGGGTCTGCTTTACTGCGCCCCCGAAACCCTTAAAAATGCCTCAGAGCATGTCCAGTCCCTTTCCCCCATCAACGAAAACCCATGCACAATACATAGAGTGGTTTTGGGGTTCCCCAAAAGTCTGCAGGCCGATGTAACAGTCCCTTGTTCCGATTTCGGCGAGCTGCGGAGCCCGCCGCGGCGCCTCAAGCGGGAACAAAGTCCCAGAGCTCAGGTGACTCTTGTGCCCTGTTCGGTTTATAGATGCCATGTAGGAACTGGGGCTTCTTGGGCGCAGGGTGCAGATGTAGGGTTTCGACAGTGATTCCGAAGCCTGGAAGGCGCCTCAAACTCCGACAGGGGTGACATCTTCACACTGATAGATATATGATGGTACAAAGGATAGCGCGGTATCCTTGCAACGTGTTTTTGGCTGTCTTGCAGCATCCAGACATGCGAAACCAGACATGATCGTTAATCATTACAGCAAACGTGAGTGGGCCGTCTGCGGAATGTTTTTTTGGACCGAATTGTGTTTGATTTTGATGAAAATTGTGGAGCCGACATGCGCGCCTGTGGCCATAGCTGCGGAGCAGCCGCGCTCCGTGGGAGATTGCGAGGCGGAGTTCTACATCGAAGGCGAAGGTCCTAGTCAGGCGGACAGGAGCCATCGGAGCCATGACCATGAGCTCTCGCAGTCTCACGCACGTCCCAAGCAACATTCTTCGTTTCCCGAGCGCGCGGCGGGTAGTGCCCAGGCCCTGCCATGGCGACGGCCTGAGGTCCCCACGCAGAACCGCAGTACTGCATAAATCAGGTCACCGTTTCTACAACCTTCGACGTGCTGATCGTGCTGGGCCCTGCCTTGTCAATGGAAGAAGGGCTGGACAAGGCCAGGAACTCCCCGTGGCCCGCCTGTGTCGATGCGACGATGCTCTTTTTGCCCGTGCAAGGCGCAGGTTGCGAGCGGCCGAGCGGCCTCCGCAGCCTCTTCGAGAAGCCAGCGGTTCATCGCTCGGCCCGCGCCGAGGCCGACGATGGACGTGGAGAACTCGCAGGTCAATTGGGAGAAAGTGGTGCAAAGGTGCCTGGCGGATCCTGGCGGCATCTAGTGCTGAAAACAGTCAAGCTGCTCCAGCGACCTTTGCCGCCGCGATGGCATCCAGGAACGCATCATCTGAGATGCACAGGTCGATGCCACATGGTACACTTCCTCTTCCACGGTAGGTCTCATCAAACCCAAACAACCGCTCAGCCCAAGAATCTTCTTGAAGATGGCCCCGTGAAGAGGCCATCCGAGAACACCATCGCCTTCCTGCAAAAGGAGTGTTTGTTTGTCCGTGTTGGCGCACACATTTAAGGCAGACTGGGAGCGGCCTGGTCGTGTTGGTGCGCGGCGTGGCCAGCGCGCCCACAAGGATATGCCTCGGACTGGCAGGGAAGGATACAGAAAGCACGGGCCCGGCAGACCGTGCTCCACGGTGCTGCACAAGACTTCTGCACGAGGAAGCTCGGCTGCCGGATGCTAAGGGCCCGGCTCTGCGAATCGCAGTCCATCACTGATGTTGCTAATGTCCTCCCAATCTGTTGCCCAAGCTTGCGCGCACACACACACACAGAGACAGAGGCAAAGACACACCCAGGCACACTCTCTCTCTCTCTCTCTCTCTCTCTCTCTCTCTTGCTTGCTGCAGGGCATAGGGGTCGGTTGGCCCGACCCTCAGGCCATAGGCCCGCCCTACCTCTCTCTCTCTCTCTCTCTCTCTCAGCTGATGTTTGTGGCCAACCCCACCGATGCCCGAATTCCCACGACATCGGTTCTTCGGTATAGATCATGCTCTGCTGAACTGCTTAAGTTTCAAGGAGCTTCAGGTTTCCTGGTCGACAAGGCTGCCGTCGATTTGTCCTCAGCCCAGGCCCCCGACCAGAACGTAAGTCCGAGCCCGAGTGTACTTGTCTGAAGCTTGGGGAGCATCGTCACAAGACTTCCGTGCTTCCCAACAAAAGGGCGTATACGTCGAGTGCGCGAATATAAGGCCGTGGCTTGTTGCCGTGGCTGACTTTGCAGACAGCTGCCGCAGTTTTTGAAGCAGCTGCTCCTGTCAGGCAGCGTAGCGGCACGGCCCGTAAGATCGGTAGCCGTCTCTCTTCGTACCGGTTAGGAGCTGCTGCGAAAGTTATGATATACCGCCCCTAATGCCACGCTAGTCACTTCTGCTACCCTAAAAACCCTAAACCCTAAATCCCTAAACCCTCCTTCAGCCATCGACTTCCTCCCATTCCCGCCTTCATCTCGAGGCTGCCGTGTTGGAACTCGAGTCTCGCGAAGCTCTGACAGGAGATCAGATGGATCCTGCGAGCTCCAGGGGCACCCAGAAAGCCGCAACATGGATGGACCCTTTCTGCCAGGGGTCCGCCAAAAAACAAAAAGTCTCGGAAGGCGCAACAAAACATCAGGGCAGAGCTTCTCTCCTCGGCACCTCTCCCTTCTCCTATCTCAAAGTAGGTTAAACGCACCTCAGAAATTTCGAACTGGACTCCCCTGCTGCAATTCCAACCTTTCCGGGCTGTACTGCAAGTCCTGTCTTCCGGTCTTAGAGAGCGGATGATTCTCTCTGCCACTGCCTCGTCCAAGGAAGCAATGGCAATACATCGGCTGACCCAACTGCACGCTTGGAGGATATGCCCTTCGTCGCCTTCGTCTTGATCTTTACTACTATTTGTGGCTTTGATGACTCATGCAAGCCATTGTACCAGATGCTTTCCACTAGCTAGCAACCAGCCTTTGCCAGGTCGAGCTTTCCCCCTTCTGCCATGGACAGCGACACGTCCAGGAGAAGGGCCAGTTCCTGCATCAGAGGCGTGCTTTCGAGCGATCAGGGCAGGACCTCAGCAGAGCGACCCCAAGTCGCCAAACAGCCCTGAACTCTGACATGTGGCCTGTGCCGGTGGCCGACCCGTGACCTGGCCAAAGCCGTCAAGGGGCAAGGACATCAAGACTTGTTTTATCTTTGCGGGCCATCTCCTTGCATATCCTTTGCAACTCCAGATGCCATGTTTCAAGGCAGTCTTCGCTTGCTTCGCTTGCAACTCCACGGCCCCAGAACTTTGTGGATTCCTTTCTAGCAGCCTAGCATCTACACCCGCCTCCAGCAGACGAATTTGTCGTCAACTCTCGACAAGAAGCTGTTATTGGAGCAGTGTTTCCGTCGTCGAAGGGCCTCTTAAAGTCTTGTCGGCACGGGCCATGAGAAGCGACTGCCGTGGCCTTCAACGTGGCCTCCTGAAGAAGCTTTCTTTCAATGCAGTTGTCCCGGTGTCCCGCAACGTGACAACTGAACCTGGTCTTTCGAGAAGCCATTGTCAGCGCCACGATATATCATTACTGGTCGAGTTCTTGTCGGCGCCGGCTTCCCAGAGCAAAGGAAGAACTGACACGTGGCCTCCTCGATAAGCCCAGATCGGGTAGCGCCCAAAACTAATCCCATCCTGGGACGCGGTTGAGGAACCTTTTTTCGAGTCCGAGCCGACGCTGAGGCTTTTTTCGGGCTCAAGGGTCCGGGCCTTGAAAATTGGCGCCTGAACCGTTTGGGCAAGCGGGCCAGCCGTTTCCATTGCTGCTTCAACGCTCTCACATTGCTCAACTGTTTTTTCCTGACAGAATCCCGCTGCTGTCCACGCTGCACGGAGACAGCCCGCCCATGGCAAGCACCATCTCTGTTTTCAGATGACCAACCGGAAAGGCATTCCGGCTGTGCAGTTCCTGGCTGCCGCGTTTTATGCTTTCTAACAAGACAAACTGACTGCTTTCTTGCCTCTCTTGCATGGCAGTCGCCAGCATCTGAGTATGCAATCACAATCCCCGGATAAGGATTCAATGTGCGAGGGTGCTGTTCAACGGCTCACATTAGCATTCTCCAGCCTCCGGCGCCAGGACATCCAAGACCACGGCTTGTTCTGTGGCTCCTGGAAAGTCTTGGATTTCTGCAAAGATTCAGAGAGGTTATCAGCCCGTCTCCGAGCAATTTCTTTGACCAATTCTAACACCAGTATACACTTGCCAACATGTCGCCAGAGCCCAGGTACTGCAAGTGTCAACAGTTCTCGAATTTCAGCAAGAGCGCCAGTTACTGTCAGAATTATCGACTCGAAGGCGGTCTCACCAACGACAAAACAAAAAAACAAGCGGTTGAACTCACAATTAGCCAACGTGCTGAGAGTAGGCCTCACTGTTCAGACGATGGCGTCGGATTGTTTGGTCATGAAAAAACGACTCCTGTACCAGTGTCTCCTGTGATGTTTGATTGTGCTATCCCTATCTTTCGAAGGTCATGATCATCACGATCACCAAGGGGACGAAGTTGGTGAGGACGACATGAGGATCAGGACCATGGTGATAATGATGATTCATGCTGAGGATGAAGGGCCCAGTGTGGCACCTTTATGTCGATGGAACACAAGATGACCACGGTGGCGATGACGATTGTGTTCAGGAGGGCGGATGATGATCCTGATGATGATGACGACCATCGAACTGATCATGATCAGTAGCAGCAGAAGCAGCAGCAGTAGCAGCAGCGGCAGCAGCAGCGGCAGTAGCAGCAGCAGTAGTAGGAGGCGAACCCCTCCCCCCTACCAACCACCTCTCCTTAACACTGTTCTTGCTGGGGCATGGTGTGGGGGATGGGGGGTCGGGGAGAGGAGGGGGTGGGGGTTGGGAGGGGGATCATGATATGCATGGCAGCCTCGTTATTTCCCCGCCATTCTGGCTTGCGCTGATGGTACGCGAGTCGGCCCTTCTGCGCCCGCGCGATGCCGTTGTTGATGATGATGACTGTTCCTCGCGTGTTCTACACTTTCTGCGGCTTAGAGGGACCGTTTTCCTGCATGCAGCAAACTGCTTCGCCACCCTTGCGTTCACGCCAAATGGGTGCCCCTTCCTCCGTACTATTCCCTGCTCGCCCAACGATTTAAGCGACAGCTGGTTGGTAGGGTGAGGGGGGGTGGGGGGTAGCAGGTAGCAGTAGCCGCGCCAGAGGCGTGTTTAGCATTTTTGTCAGCATCGCCTGGTTCTATATGCCATGTTCTTCTCTGTCTGCGTCATAGCATAAAATCAACACCAAAGCCATCGCCAGAGCTCAAGCTCAGCTCCCGGCTTCCAGGCAGAACGTGCACCCAATGCGGCCGGAAGGTCACCGTCACCTGGTTACATAGCAAGCATAGCACACAGCGCACAGCATCACCCAACAGAAGCATCTCTGCCTGGGCGGCGACAACGGATAGCCTCTGGATCGGGAAACGCTCATCATTGCCGCAGTGGGTTACGTTCTGCAAAGACCGCAAGTTAGACCGCAAACGCTTGTCAGCATGGTCTGCATGAGCAACTAGTTCTTCTAGAAAGGTAGGCCGTTTGGGTGCGGTGTCCATTTTTGGACTATGTTGTACAAAGAAGCCAAAACATTATTTTTTGTGTTTGCATTTGAGCTCTTTGTTCAGCTCCCTCTCTTGTTTTATCCTTATTTCTGAACTGACAGTGTTCAGTCGATCTGTTCGACTTTGTTTTGTCATGTGCTTCTTCCTGTCCTTCTTCTCCCTTGTTGTCGTTGTTTCCGTCTTTGTTGCTTCGACGTTTCTTTCAGTGTCGCGCATCCTTTGCTTTGTTCTTTATGTCTGCATGTACGCCTGTATTTAGTTCTGATTATTTCAGGAACTGACCAAGGCCCGAAACAAGTTGATACATGGTTTGCCCACACGTCAGCCTGTCTGAGTAGCCACAGCTTAGGCTATCGGAACAGGCGATGCACAATTGTTCTTCTGTCCTTATGTGTGTAATATTTTTCTTGATTGCAACATTCTGTCGTTTGCTCATTCGTTCAAGGGCGTGCGCTCTTTCTGTCTGGAGCATCGTTTTTGCCTGCTTGATGATAATGACCGTGATGCATGATGATGCTGATGACGGCGAAGCATGAACATGATCATGATGATGGTGATGATGATGATGACCCCCACCCCACAACACCAAACCCAAACATCCTGCAGAAACAGTTCACGGAACCCCTCTAATCGTTGAAGCAGTGACGTTCGAATGAGCTTTGCAAGACCGGGATCAGCGCCGAAGACAAGCCAGCATCCAGCCCGACTGGGGCCACATCATCCTGAAACCGACGGGACGAGACAGCTCACGGCAAGAGTCTTAGGAGATCTTCACAGTTCAAGTGGGCCAAGAACTCATTCGATTTTTTTATCGCTGGCAGTAGCAGCCGTCGTCGAGTCCTCGAGAAACTGACGGCCTTTCAAGCTCAGTCGGTCGAGGTGGCACCGGCCATGGCGTCAAGAGTGCAAGCTCCGCCGATTTTCAGGGCAGAAACAGGCAGAACCCGATCTTGAGGCACGCTAGGAATGCCCAAGGTGCGTGAATGCCTCTGATGTTGCTTCGTGCCCGTAGCAGCTGGTTGCCGTTGCCGCACCATCACGCGCTGGAGGTGTGTTACAGGATTCGGCTGTGGCTGCATGAGACATCATGAGAAGAAGAGACAAGGACGCGACAAGGCCGGCACACGCTGGAAGTCATGAAACAAGAGTCAAACGGGGCTGTACAGGCTTTCGGGCTGCAAGCCTGTGACCTTTCTGCAAGGGACGCTGCAATGCAACGTCTTGCGGCTTGATGCTCCATTTTGAACAAGGCTTGCCTGACACGAGCAACTCTCAAGGTGGACTTGACTAGACTGCATTAGATTGAGAGGCTCCGCCTGGACAGTACAGACTGATGAGACTGAATTCCAAAGCAACCACAGAAAGCCTTGCTAGTATGAGGACATTCCTCGATGCAATACCCCTTCTCAAGCTTTGGTTCAGAACTGGCCCCTTCTTCCGAGAGCCGGACGGCCGGATTTTGCATGCATGCCTTTAGCGATTTGTCCCAAGTATCCGGAGGTCCGGGGTTTTGGTTGACAGGACGTCGGGTATGAGGTCCTGGTACGCATCGTAACGTCATCAGCTGTGACTCTTAGGTGTTGGGGCTCTGTTGCCGTGCCCATCATGCCAAGCAATCCGCAGACTTCCCCGGGCATCGTAGCAGCAAATGACGAACAGGCCTCCCAGTTTGCCAATGCAGCCTGCAGCTTTGCAAGTTGTTTTGTTGAAATGATAAGTGTAGTTCTAGTTCTGCCACTCCTCCGTTCAGGAAAGCTCTGCAGCCCTGCGATGATGTTCACCCTTGCCCGATTGTCGGGTAAGCAGCGAAGAGCTCTCAATTCTTCGGGGCACTTCAGAGCTAACTTCAGGAGTGGCACGGTAGTGAGATCCAGCGTACAACAATGCAGAAAGACACATGTCTGTCAGGAAGCCTCGACCGACATGCACCAATCGCTTGCATGCATGCTTGGTTTTCGGACTGCGGCAGCTGTTGCGCTATCGTTCCGGCCTGGGTCAAGACAACATGCGTCCAGCCTGCAGCATCTGCGTGGCCTGCTGCAGTCGGAGAGTTTCATCCTGAGCCTGCGATTCCTGAGGCGCAGGGAGGCGATTCGGAGCTGGGAGAGAATCCTCTCCTCCGACTCGGCCGAGTTGCGGGTTGCCAGCCATGGCTGCCGATGCCCGACGGGAGTTGCACCTGCCGGCAGGGGGACCCAGCAAAAGCCCAGCAACAAAAACTCCCCCAGCCTTCACAGGGCTTTGGCTCTGAGCTTTGGCCTGTCGCGAGAAGGCAAAGACGCTGCACTAACCGACTGCAATCGATTAAAACACCTCCAAGGTCCTTCAGAGACGCCGAGACTCTCGGTCTCCATCACACATATGACACACTCCCTTCTGAAGTCAGTCTCTTCATGTCACGGTCAGGTCCAGGTCCCCAACGCGTTGTTCGGCCGACCTCGGGAAGCGTCTCTCACCGCCACGTCGGCCACACGAGCCGACGCGGCGCGACGACACGGACGACACGACTCACGTCTCGAACCCTTTCAGATTCATCTCGGTCTCAAGCACGGCAGAGAGCGCCTGCGGCTGAACTCAGCGGCTCTACTTCTGGGGCTATGGGCTATGGCAGTGGCTCTCGTTTTTCTCGATGGGTTGGGAGAAGCTTGCGCGTTTAAGCTCATCAATATTTCACTTTGCTGCAGTTTGGTAAAAGTGGCAGTGGTCGAGCGGCGACAAGCTCCTAATGCGGGACATAGGAAAAAAACTCGGGCTGAGAAGCATGTACTGGATGCCGACGAAGGTTTGCATGCTACGTCACGTCTCTCTTGCATCAGCTCGGATTAGAGCGCAGCGGCCATGATAAGCGGGAAAGCATCACGGACCATGGACCCAAACGGTTCGACAAATCTTGTCTGAACCACGAATGAACTGCAAGAATGGAAGGCCGGCGACGACTCGTCAAGAGTTGTTGTCCGAGCTCTGACATCGTTGGGTCAGTTCTGGGGGGGCACATCGCGCAGCGGATGACAGTCTGACACATGGAGTCTGACACCGTCTGGGCAGTGCAGGCCCAGTTTAGAGTCGAGCCTCCATGTAGTTGGCCCCAGCCTGGTGAATGGGCCAGAACGCGGCTGCAGAGCGCAAAGTCCGGCCCCTCTCTCTTTGGCCTTGGAGACACCCTGAGTCAAGCCAAGCACCTCCTGGCCCAGCCAAACACCGCGGCTGAGCGGCTCAAGAGCATGGCAAAAAAGGGGCATCCAGTGCTTCAGACGTCCCTTCCTGGCCTGTGCAGGCCGCCTCGGGGCTGAAGGCTGAATGGAACCACTGCGAAGCGACTGCGAAGCTGCGCTGAGGGCTCCGGCATTTGCATCTGAGCATCCTCAGTGCGGGCTGCGGCGTTCTGCTGTCGCAGCTGTCGCAGGGAGACGCCAGCAGAAAGGTTTCACTATCACTGCACAAGCCCCGAACGGATTGGTATTGGGACAGGTTGTCCAGCATCATCCGCTGCCTCTGCAAGCAGCAAGCAGCTCGCCCAGCCCAGGAGCGACAACAGTGGTGGCCCCTCCTAGCACTCAAGTCCAAACTGCTTTCTGAGCCAGGCGGTGTCGCCGAAGAAAGGGAGTCTGCAGGGCTACATCCACTACATCCTTGGACTCCGACCGTGCTCTGTCCAAAGACAGCAATTCCTGGAACACAGATTGAGATGGGGTATTGAGTACATGGTTGTAGCAGTACATGCGTATGCAACCATGCCCGCAGCACGGCAAAACTCAGTAGGCATTATTCTGCCACTTACCTGATGTGCCAGTAGAAAACAGCTGACGCGGCGCCTGCACGTACGCAGCCATCTGGTCCTGGTTTCACTGCTCCGCTGACATGGTTGTGCCGAATAGTTGATGCGGAGACTGCTGGCGTAATTCTGACAGAACCCTCTAGCTTGTGTCACACGTGGGCGATGGCGAAAGCACGAGTTGGGCGGTACTTACGTCAGTTGCTTCGGGCCTTGCTGAAACCTTTTGGGGCTGCTTATGGCCCGGGGCAATGATTGGTGATTGAAATTGCGACGCGACGGGAAGGTGCAGATCTGGAGCCTTCTAGAGAACCGTCCATTGTCCCCTTTGAAGCATGTTCAAAGGGGACCGTCGCCAAATGACCCGATACTGCCAGAAGAGATACGGACTTAGCTTCCACCTACGAGTTGTTCAACAGCTTGGGCTTGGCTCTCAGGAATCCCAGACTGCAAGGACCGCAACCCTGGCCTTCTGCATGCCAGGGAGAGACATCAGAGCTCTTGCTGCCCCCCTCGACATGCAACGACAGCACGCTTTGAGACTCGTCTTTAAACTCAACAGGAAAAGGATCCCGGCGCCTTGGGTTGAGCTAACTGGCTTCTGGCAACACAGTGCGTCGAAAGCTCGTGTCTTCTAATGCAGATGTCCTTGACAAGCTTCCGACGCGCCCTCCAAAGACCCTCTAGCATTCTCATTCTCGACACCCGCACTTCAGCAACACCGTGCCTCGCGGGAGGAAAGTGAAGTAAGTCCCTCGGTCTAACTCTGTGCGCACTGACTCCGAGTTATTTGCTCCAACCCACGCAAAACGACTCCACAGGCACTTGCAGCCCGTCCGCTGCTCTCACTTAGCCCAAGGCAAGGTGTCCGGCGCAAGCCAGATTAAAATAGTCACCGACGGCAAGCTGCCACAACTTGAGCCGGAAGGCAAGGGAGACGTCCCGGCTGGCGCTGGGCTAGAAACGAAAGCTGACGTGTGCTGAAGCAAGCACTTGTAGATCGTAAGATGCAGAGCATTTAGCGGCCTTCAGCCCTGCAGGAAGGTCACGTCGCGGTCCGAGCCGCGCATAGGGTGACACGTCGCAACATGCGAGCATCTTTTTCAAAAATGGAGGAGCTACAGACACTGCCCGCTTTGTCGAGGCCTCGTGATCTTCTCGCCGTACCCCCAAGGATCTCGCGGAGCTTGGAGCTCAGCATCCCGGACACGGCCGAATATTTTTACACCTGCAGTTGCCAACTTGCTGCCATGGCGCAAGTCGATCCCAGAGCTTCCTGTGCTACACAACTTGAACCAAACGTCTCCGACACGGACATCGGCTCACCACCTCCGGGTGTCGCACTGTCTGCATTTGCCTGCAGCACTTGCCCGGCCCTTCCCCTCAAGAGCTGTGTTCCCTTTTTGCGCTCTGTGTGTTC